GTGAATGCCTAGAAACTCCCAAGATAGAACACCCAGCATGCATTGACAACGATGACACTCGAGGGAAATAACAATTTGCATCGCAACCAATAGACTGACATGAGGGTGCGGGCATATGGACCTGGACATAACTATTCATGTGCGTCGGCGGCCCTGCCGCAAGACGTCGCTCAGTACACGCGCATCTACTCATCCAACAGCTATTGAGGATCTCTTCGGATAGGGCATGCCACTAGTGGTTTGTAAACACGCGGCTAGTCGCCTCACTGCATGATTGTAAGAACCCCAGTCGTTAGAGATCGCTTCGGAAAAGCACAAGACGAGCGTGAGAGAGGGGCAAGAAGGGTGGGAAGCGTAGAGAAAGGCACAACTTGACGAATCGGAACACTCCCCACACTGCCCATTATCTACAAGCTGTGACCACCATATTGTATGCAGGTCCGCAATGATGTTCCTGCTCGCTAGCACAGGTCGTCGTGCTGTAGCGATCCAGTGGCGGCTCGGCTACTAGCGTGCATACGGTCCCAAAGCAGATCCATGTACATCACGGCGCTGACCCAAGGTTCACTAGCCCTGTTTTGGCGTTGCGTTATCGTGAAAGGCCCTATGGCGAGACAACCATACGTATGCCTAGACGCGACCCGATAGAAGGGTCAGCTGAGAGATCAGCAACGTCCTGCTTTCAGTGTGGTCGGATGATCCATTGATGTGTGGGCGGCGAGGCTGTTTCTTCTTGACTTAGCCAGTTGAGGACGGTTGACGCGTGCTAGGGCGCTCCGCCGCAAGTTGACAGCCGAGCCATTTACCTTGGCTTTTTCACTCAACATCTGGAACCGAGATACGCTACCACTGTCCGAGTCGTGATGACATTTTCTGGATGCTTTGTTGAGACTGGGATGGCAAGAAGCCCATCTGTACGTATGGTGACAGGGTAGGGATAACAAATCAGCATGCACAGACACTGGTCGGTCACTGCCGACGGACCAAGGCCTACGCTCTACCGCCGACGAGCGGTTCTGGACTATGTGGAGTTGTTCTGACAACACAAGTTTGTCAACGATTCATGGCGCCTAATCTCAGGCACCGAGTGACAGTCATTCATGCGAAGCTGCTATAGGATAATGCTCCTGCCACAAGACGGCGGGGAAGACGGCGGGGTATGATAAGTTGGACAGCGGGCTTCGGCAACGCGAGCTCTTCTAATGATCACAACTGTCGCTTGCTAGACGAACCTCTAGGGCGGGGAACGAGAATTTAGAGCAGCGACTGCTTGGAGCAGCGGCTTCAGACTATGCCCTCTGGGACTCGGTGCAAGACTATCGTACCGAACTTTTCATGCCGCGTTACTTCTTGAAATAACCGGCAGTATGAGGGTATATGCCTAGCTGCCGTTCCTCCTGCGCTTTGTCTAGCACGATTACTCCCTCCCACACGCGTATGCATACACCGCCTCCATACGTTTCCTGCCATGCGACATGAGCCAATTGCAAGTGGATCACGAACATCACCACCCTCGTCACCACGAGGAACCTTTCGAGGATCATCGTCTCGAATGTCATGCTGAACAAAGATACAACCCACGTTAACATTCTGCAGTCCAAGATTATAATGGCTTCAACAACTTTGCGCCGCTCGCAATGGAATTCATTTACGGGACCGGCATGCATCCACCCCATCAAACGCATCCGACACCGGGGACTACACACCCACAGCTACAGCATTTGCTCATGCCACAGAAGCTGCAATGGCCGAACACGCTGACCAGCCAATCGACCTATCAAGCCTCACTGTATCCTTCAGCCCCACCACCGATAACGCCGGCATCAGCAACTCCAGTCTCAGCGAGCTCAACTCACTCCCCTCATTCATCGAAACCACGGAAAACCCTCACCGACTCGGACTGCAGACGCATGTGCCAACACCACGAAGAGAACCCTACAGTCAAGCAAACAGAAATTGGAGGTATGCTATGATGATGCACCTACCCATAAGGATCGTTCACTGACATTACTCTAGCAATGTTTGGCGTAGAGCGAAGGTACCACTGCATATGCTGTACATCTCTTACCATGCTGACTGTTGAAGAGTACCGTTTCAAAGGCGTTGCGCTAGAAGGAGAAGTACTTGTACCGGGACGACGGCAGCCGATCACCCATAAAAAGGTCGAAAGGCAAGTTTCCTGATATCGAACGTGCGTTGTCAAACTGGGCAAGAAACTACCAGAAACAGGGACTGCCACTGTCCGATGCCATCACCCGAGAGAAGGCGCGCTTCTTCGCTCAGACTGTTGGTAACTCCGAGAGTCATCTCAAGGCAAACAACACGAGCTGGCTAGAGAAGTTCAAGCAAAAGAATCATCTCATGGAGCGCGAGAGCGTGAAAGGGCTCGATAGAAAAAGAGTCGGAGAGGACTTCCAATCCGCCATCAAATGTGCACACGCCGGGTGCCATCTCGCCTACCTCACCTGGCGGGGGTATCGCCCGCAACCACGACCATGAAAGCCAAGAAGAGTTAGGAAAACCCCAAAACAAGAAGCCCAGACACGCACGCGTCCTCGAACCATCGTCGGCTACCCCATTCGCAAAGCAGCACTTCTTTGTCGAGCGTGTTCACCGATACAGCCCCAAGCCCTACATCGCTTTCCTCACCTTTCTTCACACCCGACTCAGCATGTGAACCAAGTCCGTCCATAGGAATCCGATAGCCGGCCAGTGGGCAGCCAGGGAGCAACAACTTCCAGGGGCCGCGAAGTCAGACCTTCCCTATGCTTGTGGGCGTCGAGCAGTATATGTCACCACCAGGCTCATCTGATACGCTGACTCCAAAGTACGTCAGTAGTGGTGCGCTCGATCCTTCTATGACTAAGATGCCTGGCGCGCTGCCGACCATTGGTGAGGGAATGTCGCTGTCCCCAGCTCAAGTCCTCAAATCGATCACACCCCCTCCTCTAGCGAGTACCAGTCAGATCGGTGACAAGGGATCCTCTGCCGATTCCTCGCCCATTACACCATCCCAAGAAGAAGCTGCACGCGCATTAGAGCTCGTCATGAACTTCTTCCAGTTGCAGAACGCCGGTTTTGTCGTGGAGCCACAAGACTATGTTACCATCGGCAAGCTGATGGAGAAGCTACGAATCAAGCGCAGCTCTGAGGGTCTTCCTTCCGATATGTGACGTGTGTCAGAGCTCACTTTCACTACGACTAAGATCGAGAGTGTTGACGCAGTCCATTAGCAAATTGGATACGTCACTCGATCCATCGTTGGCCCTATAGTACCTGTCACAGCACGTACACATTTGCGACCTCTCACTTGTGTGGAACACTCTCCAAAACGGATCCACGATTGGCTACATCCTCGCGTCTGCGTCTCTAGCATTGCTTTCTGATCCTTAATCGTCGATTCTGTTCGGTCTAGGTGCTGACACAAGATCTGACTGTTTCTCGCGAGAAGCCGATGAAAATGGCAGGGTATCATGCTTATCAGCTAACTGAGTCATGTGGTAGTATGGATACATTCTCTGAGAACACGCCGGGTTCTTGAACATGGCTAAAGAAGAAGGTGCTTATTGAGACTTAGAGGAAGAGAGGC